CGGGCGGAAAAATGGCCGCGGACCACCTGTCGGGCGGAAAAATGGCCACGGACCGTGTCACGGGAAGGAAAATGGCCACGTATCCTGTTCATACCCCGAGGCGGAGTTCACAAACCGAGGTAAATTTTTGCGTCCGGAGCTGGTCGTAACCTGAAAAGTTCGTTAACAGAGGCGTTCGTAACCCGAGGTACCACTGTACAGCAGGTACTATGTTTAATGCTTAATAATATGTGATAGCGGAGCAGCAATAGAATTTTTTTTAAAAACTCCATCATGGTTTCTCTCACACAAATTGAATTGCAGGTTAAATTCTGCCTGAATCTGTAACAGCCTAGAAAATTGCCTGTTAGTAATGACACTTAAAAGTTGAATCTATGCAAGGAAAGTATATTGACTGCATATTTTTATACAAGAGGACTAAATCATGTTTTGACAGAAAGTCAGTGTAGTATGTGGATTGTTTAAAGGTGTTCAAAGGAAGGTGGCATTGTTTATTTTTCCTATGCAGAGTAATTCCTTAGGATTACCCATATAATGTACTATCAATGCACTGAAGCATCCACAACAGTGGCATAGCTTATATACTGCTTTATGCATTAGACATTGCATAGCTAGTTCTTCCCATAGATAATGAACTCTTTTTATTGTTGCTTGATCGAAGCTGGATTCTTAAATATTTTGTAATGACTCTGAAATGGACTGTGCAATAGGAAAAGGATATAGTGGAAAAGAGAGCATTGCCCCGATGCTGTCCACAAAAGGAACTTAAATATCCCTAGTTGAGCTATAGCTAATCTGAAGATGTTTTTCAAAGCATAGCTTTGCAAAATGTTGAAATGTAACATTAATTTGATTATTTTGGTCATATTTTTAGGGATGTTTACATTTTTCAGTTATAAAATTAATGTAAATCAACAAGTAGGTTTTTTTTTAATACATATTAGAGATTTTGGTATCCTTTTCAAATTTAAAAGTTGGCATGTGAAGTTCGTGATCAAATTTTTAACGCTAATTAAATATTTTATTTGTACAATGAATTTGGGATTTGCTAGAATCAAATGTGGGGTGTAGTGGTTAAAGGAGACCAGGTTCAAGTCCATCTGCAGAAATAGAAACTCACTGGATGACTTTAGGTCAAGTCATTGAAGGAGACCAGCTGTGTTATTCAATGGTAGCCAAAAATCAGAAGGAATTTGGTAACAACTTTTCAGATTAACAATTTTTATTAAAATGCATGAGTTTTTGTGAACTACAGCTTATTGCATCACATGCCTTATGCCTTCTAACAATTTTTTTTTGTTGCGGAGAAGGTGCTATCAGACTTCTTCCCATTTTTGGCTAGTCTATAATCTCTCAACCCAACCTATACCACAGGATTTTTATGGGAATAAAACGAAGGGCAATCTCGGTGTTATCCACCTTGAGCTCTCCAAGAAAAGGCATCATATAAATGTAACAAATACAACAATAGTTTGGGCTAATTGTTGTCTCTGAGCCCAGCCTGCTCAACTGCGCAGGGCTGTTGTGTGAAAAATTTTAGGGGGGAGTACAGCAGTATCCACAGCACTGTACCATAAAGCTCTGTCTCTTTCGAATATACAGTATGTGTGATATCACTTGACACTTGTAGAAAAGAGGTGGAGTTTATGCTACAATGCTGTGACACTGCTTTTATCAGTCTGACCCCTTTCCCTTCCACACAGATGCTGGTGAGAAAGCATATTTATCTCCTGGAGACAAGGTAGGATATAAATCTAAGTACATGTAAATTAATAAGTAAATGTAATTAATAATACATAATATTATGATTGAATGTTAATTTTTTGTGTTCAACAACACTAATTAGTAGCCTTTTTGAAAGTTAAAATTTTTCAATGGTGCTCTTAAATAGGAACATTACTTGTTTCAAATAAAAAAATTATCCTTTTATTTTGTGTTTTCTTTGTAGATGTTGCTGCTTTAGCAATCGGTCGTGAATTCCTTGTTAGTTCAAATCAAGTACTGTTGGACACAATGATTCAACTGCTAAGAGATATGAAGCCAGGATGTTGCACCAAACTGAAAGTGTATGATAATTGCTTCTTTTTGAATTAAATTGTTATATTTAATATCTTATATTAAAGAATCTTATAGTAATATGCTACTGCTAAAGTGTTGTGACAGAAGTTAAAAGTGCATGTTGTGAATAGCAGATCCTCCAGTTAAAATAAGTACCACTCAGTCCCAAACCCATAATCTAATCAGCCCACATCTTAATATGGAGGATAGTATTATGTACTGTACAGTGTTATTGTAAGGATTTTACAACTTTTTTGTTTTAAATAATCAGTAAATCAACAAAGCTGGCAACACCTGGCTTTGAATTGGGCCTGGTTAGTACTTGGATATAAAACTACTAGGCAGATTGTGAAGTTGAAAAACCCTGGCAAAAAAACAGATTCAGGTCTCCTTATGTTGTTCACAATCATCATTTTGGTACACTACACACAAAGGGAAGAAATGAGAGACAGCCAAGCACACCATTCACATACTTACTTAGTCAGGAAGCCTGCAGAAAGATAACACAGGCCTTGACTAAATACCCATCCAAGGACAGAGGGACAAGGAATGCAATAATAACTGCTACAGATATACATTGATAGTGGCTTAATTTATAGGGCATAAGTTCAGGATGTAGGAGGTATGAATTTTAATCCTCTTATGGGAAAGGCTGGAACATGGCCCTACTCATTTTCTGTGTTCCTTTTTTTTAAATATAATTTTTATTTTATTTATTTATTTTAAATGTAATTTTTATTAAGAATTTTAATTACAATAGTAAAAACTAATACAAACTAAACTTAGAAAAA